AATACGAATATTATTTCTGAGAATATATAGTGAATCTTGTTGACTATAGAAAAGAAATTGCACATTTGAAATTAAACACTCATGTTTTTATTTAAGAAATAGATAAATGATAAGTGCTCCATAATTAAAGTGTTGCCTTATCTCTGGTAGTTTTCTGCTTTCTTAATGAACAAATTGAAATATTCCTGATTGCTTTCTATACATAACATGAGTCTCTGCTCAGATAAATTCTAAGCATACATGTATCTTAAACCATGTATTGAATGTCATTGAATTTCAATCATCTAATGTAAATGTAATAGCACAAAACAAATGGCTATGCTATGAGATGCTCACAAAATATAAAGAAATCATTTTCTAGCCATGAAATGTTTAACAAATTTTGTGTCAGAAGGTGTAAAAATTAAATGATCAAAAAATAAATGAATTTTTTGTGATTAAATAAAAAAAATACCTTATTTTATCCTCTCTAGCATTAAAGCCAAATTGTTTATTAAATTCGTGATATTACACATTGCCCTTAAAAGTGTTCATTAAGTTGATTAACAAGAAAATGTATTAAAACTTTTTCATTAAATTACTGAGCAAAACACATTTCTGGTTTTCTTACATAGCTAAACATATGCTAATCAGAAAACCCAGTTATCTGACTTCCAGCTATTTACTCAGGAAATTAAAATTGTGTTATTTATCCATTGCTCAAAATTGTGTAATACAAGGCCCATTTACAAGGTCAAATTAACAAGACTTGGTGACTAATAAATTGCATGTATGAGATAAAATAACTTAGAAAATTAGTTGATTATTTTGACATGTCATTTCCTGAGATAGGAAATACTAGAAGAGAATAAATAAGATACTCTTAATGTATGTTCTCATGAATTTGAAGCAATGCATTGTGTATAAATAGATGAATTTACACTGCTTTCTTTAACTGTGGCTTTATAACTCACTGTTTTTATACTATTAGAAAAAATGAGCTGGATATTGTGGCTCAGGCGTATAACGCCAGCCAGCACTTTGAGAGGCCAAGGTGGGATTGAGATGAGGAGTTTGAGACCACCTAGGCAACATACTGAGACTTTGTCTCTACAAAAATAAAATAAAGAAATAAAAATTAGCTGGGCATAGTGGCGTGCACCAGTAGTCCCACCTATTTAGGAGACTGAGGTGGGAGAATCACTTGAGCCTAGGAGTTCAAAGCTGCAGTGAGCTATGATCGCACACTGCACTCCAGCCCGGGCAACAGAGTGAGATTTGTCTCAAAACAACAACAATAACAACAACAAAAATAAAAAAAATATGCTATATTAGTATCCTTCTTTCAGAGTCGTACTAGTTTATACAAATAAATGTGTATTCAAATTACAATAGTAGGCTGGGTTCCATGGCTCACGCCTGTAATCCCAGCACTTTGGGAGGCCAAGGGGGACACATTGTTTGAGGTCAAGAGTTCAAGATCAGACTGGCCATCATAGTGAAACTCCGTCTGTACTAAAAATACAAAAATTAGCCAGGCATGGTGGCACATGTCTGTAATCTCAGCTGCTCAGGAGGATGAGGCAGGGGAATTGTTTAAACCTGGGAGGCGGAGGTCGCAGTGAGCAGAGATCATGCCACTGCACTCCGGCCTGAGTGACAGAGTGAGACCTTGTCTCAAAAAAAAAAAATTACAACAGAAGTATCTACTTGCATTTGAGACATATATTTTGAAAATTCTTCTATGATATTAGACAAAATAAAATCTAAGACACATTTAAATTAAATAATGAACATGAAAGTGATCAATTATAGTTTTTAGTACTAACATGCAAGCATTTCCAGCTAGTGCTATAATAAGTTAATACAGATTTTAAGGAAATATTCAGTGAGCAAACTCCTTTGATAGAAAATAGGTAACTTTTTGTTTATTAGGTTTATTAGTTTGAAATCTTTTTAATTTAATTGGCATTATATATATTCATATTTAAAATTAATTGTTGCGAACGTGTGTTACCTGACATATTGTCCTAATAATTAATTAAAGTGATCTGTTTTCATTTACTAATTTTTAAGCTTGAAAAGTCTTCCCTTAATAAGACATAAACATTCTCCATGGCATAGATCCATATCGAAGCATATTGTTGCCATCCTTCTGAACCAATCGAGAAAAAATAAATAATTATGATTTACAGCTAGCTAATTTATAAATATTTCCATAGGTTAAGAACAATAGTCAGTAGAACAAATGGATAGCCCTGAAATCCTCATTTTTACATAAGTATTTCTGAAGCAAGTGGTATTTAGAAAAGTTTAAGAAATATATAAACTGGAAATTATTCTATTTATAGTTGTGACTATGTTTTCGTGAGACATGGATTTTTTTTCATTTCATATAAAATTCAGTAAGAAATGAAGAAAATGCCTGCATAGTCCACAAATATCATCCCCTATTAGCACAAAATTATGGAATTGTTATTTGACTTCTTAGTTTACTTAGCAATCAGTTGTATTCTTCATTATCCACTTAAGAGTCACAGTCTTAAACTGAGGATACAGAATAGTCTGAAAACATGAATAGAAATTTTAAAGAATAGGATGAGGAAAAACACTGGATTGATAAGTAAAGACAGTTAGGCTGGTACAAAAGGAGTCAGGAAATTTGAAGAAAAGCCAGCAAACTCCAGGGTCGCCATTCTTAGATTTTGGCTCCAGGCTGTAAATTTAAATGTCTTGTTAACCCTCAGGCAAACTGGGAACTACTGCAACTGTAAAAAACACATCTTCTTTACTGCTTTCAATTCTAAGGCAAATTTTAAAGAAACAACATTTGTTAAAATACTTTTTGTCATAAAAGCATGGTAGCATTTTGGGAGAACATTGGAAAACATATAAAAGTCACAAGACGAAAATGAAATGATCTGGATTCCATCTAGTCAAGTAGCACTTGAATTTCTTTAAACATACTTACATATGTCAACACACATGTGTATGTTTGTGTGAATGCATCTTTTAAATTAAATAATTTTAAGAAAATGTAACACAGATAATGCGCAAACTATAATTCTACAGCTTAATGAATTTTTACATAGTGAACACACCTATATAACCACTATTCATAACAAAAAACAGAAATTAATCAGCATTCCAGAAGCTCAGTTTTGTGATCATTTCTGTTGCTATTCTATCTTCTTCTTCAAAGTGATCTGTATTCTAATTTTTATCACCATGTAGGGATTATGCCTGTTTTTGAAGTTTATATAAATAGAATCATATAGTATGTATTATTTTAAGTCCTAGAAACTTAGGTTCATGAAATTAATCTATGTGATTACTTATAGCAGTAGTTTGTACATTCTCAGTACTTCATATGATTCCATTTCATATATAAAACACAATCTGTATAACCATCTACTATCGATGGACATTTGGGTTGTTTCCAGATTTTGACTATATAATGCTTTTCTGACCATCTTTGTACGTGTCTTTAAATAAAAATTTTATTTAACTTTAAATACAAAAATGTGTGTGAATCACATATGAATAGAAGCATAAATTTTCAAAGGGTAAGCCAATACACAGATAAAGAAATAAGCCATCACTAACACCCAAGAATTCCCTGGTATGCATGGTAATTTTGTAATGACTACTGAATACTGCGCATGAAAAACATTATACAGGCTTGGGATGAAGTTACATTACTAAAAAGAATATTTGCTTTTGCTTCTGTTAAAATAGGGGCAGATCACCTTAATCCAATCAGAGTTTCAGTATTGGGTTTACATTTGTGTGAGGTCTGGTCTTTTTCCCAAGCACCATAACTCGCATGGTATAGAACTTCCATGACCCCAACAGAAAGCATTGGGTAGTTACCAAGATCTGTCCTGTAGCAGCTACAAAAAAAAAAAAAAAAAAAAAAAAAAAAATTCACTTGACCCCTTAGCCCCATGACTGCTGCAAAACCTCTTCAGCTTCACTCAAGTCACTTCTTAATGCTCAGCATTTTAGCCTCTCACTACAAAGCACTTACTAATTAATGGAAATTGCATTTGTTTTAAACAGAAGGTGGATAATTCTCTCATGACAGTATCACCTTGCTTTTTCCTCCTCCTTTTTATTTATAGTTACTAAATATTTAATACCATAGCATACCAGGTTTCTTACTTTCCAGGTTAATATTCTTTCTCTCTGTACCTTTGCTCTCAGCCTTCTGTGATCAGCCCCACACTGTGACAGAGTTAGGTAGAGGTTCTGTGCTGTACTCAGGCTTTGATTAGAGAGAGCAGTTTCCAGCTTGAGTCACACATGATGATAGTCATTGATTGTGAAGAAGTCATTGACCTACATAATGTTGACTGCAGCAGGCCAGGGATTTAACTTTTAACTAGGTAGCACACACTATTGGTCGATTTACCTGCACATCATTTCCATAACGTGTATGCTTGTAAGATAATCATTTCATGCCTAGTACATGATACTCAAACTCTTGGTTTAAATGTACACCTAGAGAATTATTAAGGTAGCATTTTCTGATAGCATGAGCTTTCCAGAAAATGCCCATTTGATGTACCATGCTATTTTATAAAGCACTGTTTTTTAAAAAAAAAAAAGAACAGTAAAAAAAATACAAGCAGCAAAAACTACAGAAATGGCACATTTCAGAGATAAAGCAGTGTATGTGTGTATAAACAAAAGCCTTGCCACCCATAAAATGTGAACAAGATAAAGGTAAAACCGTTTTCTGAAAGTAAGCCTCCAGGAAATACTTGACATTTCCAAAAAGATGTTTGCCCTTTAATATCATCATTTGCTTTTCCCGTCTGTTTTTTTGAAGTCGAAAGCTTCTTTGCAAGCTTCTTTTAGTTTTTTAGTTTTATTTATTTATTTTTTATTTTTTGGAAAGCTAAGGATTAGAAAGAAAAATGAGATGCTTTTCAGATAGACAAATGCCAAGATGACTACTCAAATGAATTCTAAGTAAAAATAGCTCTTCTCACATTTAATGCTTGTTTTTCTTTAAGACCTCAACTGCCACAGTAAACGTGGTGGTGACAGATGTCAATGACAATGCTCCAGTGTTTGATCCTTATCTGCCAAGAAATTTATCTGTGGTGGAGGAAGAAGCCAATGCCTTTGTGGGTCAAGTAAAAGTAAGTGGAATATTTATGTAGATCTTATATGTATTTTTTTCAAAGAGCGTAAGTTTGTTTTTTCAAAGAGCGTAAGTTTATTACATTTTAATTCTGAAAAGAAACTCAGCTAATGTAATCTGTTAAATGACTGTGCTGGATATTCTTCAATACTTTAAAAAATGAATAATATCCTATATATTTTAATTAACTTTCAAGGATACAGATTTACATTTTATAATTATTGTGTAATTTAAACATTGATTAATATGATAGTATGCTAATTTAATACATATTTCTGAATCAAAACATTTTACAGAAGCATGTAATTAAGTATACTACTGGGTATGGATGTGGACATTTAGACCTCAAAAAATACAAAAAATACATATATTTAGATTTGAACTCATTTCATTATGTAAATATTATCTTTAGAGTCTACCGTGTGTGTCTAATATTTTGCACAACCCCCTTTTCCAGCACTCAGAAGGTTTACTCTTCGTATGTTCTTCTAAGTGCTTCTGGGACCTACCTGGACATATTAGCCGGTTTCTGTGGTTCATTTGATGAATAATTCCTTTATTGTTAAAGTAGAGACAATACTTCCTCATTTCAGCCATTCTTGGTCTTGAACATAGTAATTGGTCTAGAAGTCACAGAGAAGGAAAATTTTGAGGAAGATGTGCACGATTTGAAGCATCAACCTCAGATGAGGTGTTTATGTGGTCTCCAGGGAAGGAAAGAATCTTGCTTTAGTGAGGTGTGAGCCACCCAGATGTTCCAAACTCAGAGTTCAGGGTCCTACTCCTTCCCTGTGAAGTTTCTGCCTTTTCCACAGAAGGCTTGCTGGTGCTTTGAAGTGAGCCTTCTCTACTGTTCTACTATTCTTGTAACCAGGCACAAGGTCTGATTTTTAGTTTAATCTCCTTTAAACTGCAAAAGGAGAGGGTTGCTTTAAATGATGTTATAGAGATCTTGTGACATCACGTCCTGAGATTTTGACTGACCAGTGTAAGCTTTTTTGAAAGTCATTTTTTTTTCCCTTCAAATCACTGACAATACTTACAACTACCAACTCCACAGTCATTATCATTTTCATTGTCACTATCTCAGTCAAATTCTGGAAATATTGCATAAGGCATACATAACCTTATATGTTTATGCCATCCCAATGCACATAGGGAATAATCTTGGTCATTGGGATGTTATAAAATGCCAACTGGTCTTGATGCCAACTGGCCAACAAGCGATTCAACTCCAGCATCCCATCTGAAGGCTCTGTTCCCACACCATAGTACCTCTGGTGTCCAATGTCTTACTGTGGATTCTCCAACAAAAAATCTGGACACAAAATATTCATGTACAAATATTTTTTGAGAAGTACAGATAACAGTGATAAGGAAGTGAGAAAGTGAGGCAAAGAAGAGAAGGCAACCAGTAACAAGTTTGCTATTAAACCAGCTATCACGAGGAGAACTGAAATTTCATTCCAAGGGCAAACTCTACAAAAAGATGCAAACTCATGCATCAAAGTTATCTCTCTTGATAATTGTAATTGTCCAGTTCCTGAGAAGTTATGGAACTAGAAAACATATACACTAAATCCTAAGAGTAGTTAGCTACAGTGTTGGGCAATGGACTGCCAAGTTTTTGGATTTTCTTGCCTCCAGCAGAAGCAAGTAGTCAAATTCCCTCTGCAAAATCTGATAGAAGGACATTGAGTCAGGCTGTAGATACTGATGGCAGCAGTGGCCCATCTGGAGCAGCCACTGGGAAGACACTAGCTACAGCAGAGGAGGTATGACCAGGGCTACATGCTCTAGGGAGCCGGTGGGAGCAAGGAACAGGCAGGAACCTAACCCCCTTCCAAATTGGAAGGGTGGGAGCCCTGCCATCCTGGGCGTAGCTCCAGCTGCCCAGCTGTGGCTGCAGACCTAGGCATCTCTGTGCTCTCAGGGACCCAGGAAGCTCCCCTACCCCCACAGAGTCGGAAGTGCCTGTTCCCCCTGCCTGTTCTCTTCCAGCTCCTGGCAACCCTTCCAATTTTGAAGCAAAGTTGAGGCCGAGTCCACGTGCTGTCATAACCAGGCTGGGTGTGTGCAAGCTGGGGTTGGTGCTGACATGCCAGACCCCAGCCACCTCAGCCTCCTGTGGACTTTGGGCACCAACGAGCATGGAAGGGAGGCCAAGAGGGGACAGAGGGCTGCTCACTGTGGGCTTGCAGGCACTCCTCACAAATAGCCTGGGCACCATGAACAACATGATTGATGGCAGCAGGACACAGACAGGCTCCTGGGTGGAAAGCAGGGGGTCCCTGGTGAAGCCCCACCTTCAAGCCAGGGGTGGCCTGAAGCCTGGGGACCAGGCTATTAGTTCCGGTGGAGTCCATGGCCTGGAGTGAAAACGTGTGGTGCTTTTTCCGGGCCTGTCCATGGCCACCCGTAAACCAATCAGCATGTACTTCCTCCTTTCTGACCCCATAAAAACCCTGGAGCTATCCAGACACGTAGACATCAAGACTACCGGCTGCAGAAGGGAGCTCCCCTCTTCGTGTCTCCTGGGACCACCTTCTGCAGAAAGGAACTACCCGTTCCAGGTCTTCTCTCTGCTGAGAGCTGGACACTCATGGGGACAACCTGCCTATGAATAGGAGCTACACACTTCGGTCTCCCGAGAGCCGTCTGTCGTTCAGTAAAGCTCCCCTACACTTTGTTAGCTCTCCAGCTGTCCGCGTACCTCATTCTTCCTGGATGTGGGCCAAAAACTCCGGACCCACCAAATGGCAGGAATGAAAGAGCTGTAACACAAACAGGGCTAAAACACGGCAGCCACCCCACTCACCATGTTGCGGGCAGCAAAAAGGAGAGAAGAGTGGCAGCTCTTCGGGGAGCCCCTCATCCATAGGCGGATGCTCACAGCAGAAGCCGCTTGCCGTGTATCTGATTCAATCAAAGGCTTGCCCGGAGAGGGCGCCTGGAGCTACCAGTCCCGCCACAGCAGTCAGCGTGCCTGGCTATGCACAGTGACAAGACCCCGCACTTGCTCACTCATGCACCCCTCGCTGCTCTGAGCCTGGCTTGCCCTGGGAAAGTGTGGGATTTAAGCCAGTAGCCTGAGCCAAGCACAGCCTGCCAGGTGAAGCGGGTGATACAAACACAGCTAGTCTGAGCAAAACTCGGACAAAGGCGCCACCAGCCACAGAGGCTTCTGGCTGGAAAAGCAACACCCTTAGGATCCAGAGACAGTAACAGGAGATGGAAGTTGGTCAAAGCATACCAGATGCTCTGAGGGACATGCATAGGGCACTGACAATTTTTGCTACGCCAAGAAAGCAAGGTAATAAAGTCTATAACAGGGGTATGTGCAAAAAATACCAGCAAGGAGAAATGCTGAAGTTCACTCATGAAGGAAGAATACAGGTAAGAGGGAAGTTGAGAGGAGTTGGAATCTGTTAGGGAAAGTTAGTTGTATAAGTAAAGGCAGAGAGAAATGAGAGTGTGACATAGTATAGTTACAATAAATAAGACATACCATGTCATAAACACTTTTCTGTACCATGTTGTAGAAGGTGACGGGGGCACCACTAAAGGGTCTGAGGTATGGCAACATCAGATTTGCATTTTATAAAAATTACTCCTGATAGGCCAGGCACGATAGCTCACGCCTGTAATCCCAGCACTCTGGGAGGCCGAGGAGGGCAGATCATGAGGTCAGGAGATTGAGACCATCCTGGATAACACGGTGAAACCCCGTCTGTACTAAAAATACAAAAAAATTAGCCGGGCCTGGTGGTGGGCGCCTGTAGTCCCAGCTACTCGGGAGGCTGAGGCAGGAGAATGGCGTGAAGGCAGGAGGCGGAGCTTGCTGTGATACAAGATGGCACCACTGCACTCCAGCCTGGGCGACAGAGCCAGACTCCGTCTATAAATAAATAAATAAATAAATAAATAAATAAATAATAAAATAAATAAATAAATAAATATTACTCCTGATATATTGAAATGGGAGATTCTAAATCCAGAAGACAGAACTAGAAGGCAATTTTAATAACCCAGGCATAATGAGGCTTGAACTAATGTAATAGTCTTAATTAATGCTAATTATATGTTACAGTTGTCAGTTTAAAATGCCACATTGCTGAAAACTGAAAACCTTCGTTTAGCCATATATATATTAACTATTCGGTTAAAAACAAGTATTGAAATTATTTACAAAAATGATCTTTCCCATTTTCTTAATTTATTCAGCTTGGAGAGATAAAGCCCATATGGAATATATAAGTAAAAACACACAAGTAGACATCAATGTGATGATTAACTTTTAGTTAAATTTCTTTTCCTTTCTTTCTTTTTTTTTTTTTGCACTTTTCCTAGTGATTCTTTGTTCTTGAAGGAATTATTGTGTTAACCTTTTTGTTGTCTCCTGATTCTTAAATTTGATAAGAAATGGCCTCTATAATTTATTTCAGTTTTTAAAATTGAAATATGGACCTTAGCCTGGTCTTTAGGCAATAGCTTGTTTTCATAAAAACTAAAATGATACTGAAAGTAAAAAGGAAGAGGAAAACATCCAAGACAGGCTGCATCCAACTGATTCTGCACAGTGTAATGTTTATGGGATGGAATTTTGATGCTCATAATGGTCCTCTGTTGCTACCTAATGATAATTATATATTAATTTCACTAAATGACTCATGCTCTGCTTGTAAAATTTAATTTTAATTGTCATCAAAAACTATTAAGACTCACTTAAAATCAAGATACATATTGTTAATTACTATACTGAATTTGAGTTATCAAATTTGTGTTTATATTCTATTGATATTTTAATATGAATAATCCAACATTTGAATGAAAATGCTGAAGGGAGTTTTCATTTACTTTTTTTGTTTGTTTCTTGAGACAGAATCTCGCTCTTGTCACCCAGGCTGAAGTGCAGTGGAGTGACCTTGGTTCACTGCAACCTCTGCTGCCCAGGTTCAAAATTCTCCTGCCTCGGCCCCCAGAGTAGCTGGGATTACA